CGTGGAAGCATGTGCCAAAAGGTCCTTAGCGTTTGTGTTCTTTGAAGCGTTGGGAGGGCATACGATTTTCTCAGTAGAGTAGAGGTTGGCATCCGCTTGTTCTGCAGAGGGAGAAAGCTGACGCGGGCCACCTCTTTTCCCTCTCCTTCCTTCTCCTCCTCCTCCTCATCATCATCATCATTATCTTCCTCCTCTTCCTGCTCTTCTTGCTCTCCTTGTGCTCTATTGCTGCTGCTGCTATTGCAGATATTACAGCTACTGCACCTATACTGCTGCTGCTACTTCTGTTTCTGCGTCTGCCTCTTCTCTCCTCTTTGATTCCTGGTCAGGTTAGTTTTGACACTGGTCTGGACATCACAGTTTTTCTTGTGCTGTGAGTTTGACACCATTGTGGATATTGCTTTTTTTTTTTCTTCTTCACATGTGGTTGGTTATCTGGTCCAGAGGTCAACAGTTGTGCTCTGTCTTACTGGAGCAGCGAGAATGGTTAAAACTTAAAAGGCGTTGAAGAATGCGAAAGAACAATTACTCGTAGGAGGGTTGGTCTAGTATTGTATACAAGGGAGAGTTGGTGGTGAAGTAAAAGTCAAAATAACAATCGGTAAGAGGGGTAGAGATGGTGTCTGTGCTAGCCCAAGAGCGCCTTCTTGGCTCAGTGCTGGGTGGTACTCTGGGGGCATCGGTGCACGTCTACTTGCAGCGTCAGATACGGCGATCGACAGCCTCAGCGGTGGAGTCTATGGCACAGTTTCAAAAGGATGTGGTCCCAGTGAAAGCCACGGTCGAACTGCCGCCACTGCTGTTTGGAGAGCAGCTTAAAATGGCAAGCGTCCGGAACTGGAACCGTCTCCTGGACACGGTTGCCAGACCCATGGTTAGACTGCTGAGCAAGAAAGGATTTTGAAACCGCACACGCTCAGAGAATTGTTGTGGAGTCTCTGTGGCACAGTTTACGAAGGATGCTGCGCGAAAAAGAATTGTGAGGTGGTGCACTGTCCTACCGGTATGCGCCTTCGAAGAAGCAGAGCGCAGGTTGGTGCCCTGGAAACGGTTACTCGACTCATCGTTAGACCGCTGAGCAAGATTGTCAAGTCGTACACGTTCACAGGATTGTGGTGGAGTCTCTGTGGCACAGTTTACGAAGGATGTGGTCCATGCGAAAGCCACAGTTGACCCATGGTGAGAGACTGCTGAGCGAAAAAGAATTGGGAGGTAGTACACTTGCTACCTGTGCACACCCTCAAAGAAGCGCGCAGGTCGGTGCAGGGCTACCGTCTTCACCCGAATAGAACCCCCTGTCATTGTCACCATATCTAGACGGAAAGCTGCGCTAAATAAGCGAAAGCCACGGCCGACCCATGGTGAGACTGCTGAGCGAAAAGGAATTGTGAAGTAGTACACACTTTCAAAGAAGCAGCGCAGGTCGGTGGAGGGCGGGCTACTGTCTTTCACACGAAAAGAACTCCCTGTCATTATTGCCGTATCTAGACGGAAAGCTGCACTAAAAAGTACGGCAATAATGACCAGGTGTTCTATTTGGCGACGGTAGTTAGCTGTATTTCAAAGAGGACTTGCACACCAGCAGATGAATCAACGACCGTCTTCACTGGAATAGAACGCCCGGTCATTATGGCTGCGTCTGAATTGAAAGTTCCCCCGAATACAGCTATAATGACTGTACGTTGTAGTCGGGTGAAGATGGTAGGCCTTTCGAAGTGGTGGTGTCGGCTGCATCTGAACTGAAATTTGCCCTGAATACGGCTATAATGACTGTACATTGTATTCAGGTGAAGAAGGTAGGCCTTCGAAGTGGTGGTTTCGCCCCATCTCGAGATGGAGAGCAACCTAGTGAAACGGTTTTCACCTTTTGCAGTAGCAGATGCAGACCCCAGGGCTCGATCCCTAGCCCTTACCCTACCGGTGTACAGTATCTGTGTCGACCCCAAGGATGGAACCCACGACCTGTGTATTTGTAACAGTTAGTAGACTGTCGTAGGGTCCGTAGGTAGCAGGGGTTCGATCTGTAGATCTGTAGAATAGAAGTCTTAGCGAGTTCCAGAAGTCTTAGCTGTAGTCCTAGAAGGTCAGCAAGTGGGCAAGTGGGCAAGTGGTGAGTCAAGTGGTGGACTAACTGCAGTGCAATTGCAGTACGACCTCAGTAGGTTAGCAGTGAGTCCCCAGTCAGTCAGCGGTAAGGTCCAGTCAGTCCCAGTCTGGTCCAGCAAGTACCACGAGGGACTGTGAGCACCATGGGTCGATGGAAAAGGGCAGACCAACGAACTTCAGAAGTATAAATCAAGAGGCAGCGCCCAGGCATTCATTCATTCCTGCGTGAGCCATGCGGAAGCGCTGCCACAGCGACTTGTGCAAGGAGGTTTGCAGTGATGCCCGAGGTCGAAGTGGGCCGAGAGAAGGAGCGTAGCATAGCGATAGGGTAGTCGCGGCCATAGCCGCCATAGCTAGAGTTAGGGTGTAGTGTGTGTGTGTATGTGTGAGTGTTCAGAGAGTTGCATGTGGGATATCCAGGGTGATCCTGTGTGTGCGAACAGAGAGTTGTTTGGGCGCTGAGACGCCATAGCCATTGGAAGTGAACTCTTATCTGGGTTGCCATATCTCTGAGTTTTGAGTGGGCGCATGTTGCCAGTTTGCTGCACTACTGTTTGCATACATGTAAAGTGTGAATGAAAGCAAGTCTGATTGCATTGTTATCGGAGCTGGTACCCGCTATTCCATGCGCGCTGTCGTGTGCAGGGAGGAGATGCGCCATAGTTGAGGTGGCCGCCGGGAGTAGTAGTCCGCCATAGCGGACCTGGAGGGTGGAGAAGCCGCCGCGCACCTGCAAGAGAAGACCATGGTGAAGAGAGAGAGAGAGAGAGAGAGAGAGAGAGAGAGAGAGAGAGAGAGAGAGAGAGAGAGAGAGAGATGAGCGATACAACTTTGGCTGTTACATACCTGTGAAGTTGCCGTGCAGTCCCATGAAGAAGAAGATTGCGGCCATAGCCGCGGAGCTCCACCACGGGGTAACGAAGGAGGGAAGAGGGACAGCGAGTAGGAGACCGAGCAAAGAGAGGGAAGCCATAGCCGAGGAGGAGGAAGGAGAGATGAACAAAAAAAAAAAAAAAAAAAAAAAAAAAAAACAAGAGAAAGAAGACAGCAGGGTGAAAGGAGGCGAGGAAGGTGAAGGGAAGAAGAAGGTTGGTGAGGGAAAGTGAAGCCGGCAGCCATAGCCGACTGGAGAAGTTGACCGGAGGTGTTGACTGGCGTTGACCGGGGTTGAAAGGGGGTTGACCGCAGCGTTGACCAAGTCCGCTGACCGCGAGTTGACCAAGCTGGAGCCGGTATAATCTCACCAAGCCTTCAGCCTATCCCTCGCCCTATGAATGTGCACATACCCTGTGGTACTTGCTGAGTCCAGTCTGTCTGTCTCTTCTGTCCAGGTGATAGTACTCTGTGGATGAAGGATAGGGCCTTGTTGACCAAACCCCTGCCGGACCAAGTAGGGCTGAAGACTGTGTTTGACGACTCGACTGTCCCGGAGGCCTAACCCTCCCAAGGACCCGTACTGACTGGCGGGATGCTCGGTGTGGCACGGTAGGCCCAAAATCCGAGTTGTGGGCTGCACAACAGGCCGTCTAAGTATTGAGAGACCTGCTGATCGCGTCGTCCTGTTTGCGACGTTAAATAATTCGTGAGGAGTTACGGGGGATTTCCTTAAATGCCTCCTGATCAGCAACAGGTCTAGTAGTGACAGCCATAGTGTAGGTCTAGGCTAGAGATCCTAGTTGGGAGGGTCCCTGTCCGGATTCTGTGAGTCTTTAGATTGAGTTAGTAGGTTTGTCAGTCAGGGGTCAGAGTCTAAGTGGTGAGGTTTGAAACCGCTAATCCGGTTGTGCACTTATCACCATGGTTGACACCCAGAGGGGGAAGAGCACTAGCCCCTATACCCAGGAACAACAAGAGAAGATGGCCGCCTTAGTAAGAGAGAATAAGGAGAGGAAGAGCTCCGGAAACAGACGAAGTTGAAGGCAATCGCATAGGAGCAGGCGGCGAAGATGAAGAAGTTAGAAGAAGAGATGGAGGAGAAGAAGAAGGCTGCCGAAGAAGAAGCGACAGCAGAAGCAGAAGAGGAGAGGAAACGCAGGGAAGTTAAAGGAGAGAGTAGTGGCACGGCGAATGAGGACGCCGCAATGAAGAAGAAAATCAATGAGTGGATTGCTAATTTATCGTTGGGGGAAGATGAGGCGGCACAGTTCTATGTGCCACAGGATGAGAGGGATGCGTTTAGCCAGTGAGCTAGCAGCAATCAACCAAGATTAGTTGTCCCTTACTCTCCTCTTTATTTTGGCCCAGGCTGGCATCCTGTCCTTCAACTCTTCTGCCACGCCTGTGAGGGACGTGCCTAGAGAGACGCTAACACAAGCAGTCTCTGGACAGCTAGCTAGGCACGGGCCTGCAACCTCTGCCATAGGCTCATGTGGTTTGGGAGTTTTCTGTCCGCGCGCACTCGCTTCCCCACATGGCCTTGAAGTAGGGGCATTTGCGACCCCTACTGGCGGCTGCCTTTTGACTGCTGAGCAGCCCATCGGGCCTGTCTATACTTAGGACAAAATTTAATTACATGGGCCGGGTCACCACAAAACACGCACTGACCCAAGTCCACTCGTTCCTGCCATATGCACTGGTCCAAGCACAAATCTTCCTAGGGCCTGCCCTGTGGCAAGCCTGGGTGCCATCCTCCTTGAGGTGGCCTTCCACCTCGTCGCTGCGGGGACCGACAAGAACCGTGACTATTTGGCGGGGGACCTTGACCCCTACCTCCCACTTGGCGGTTCCCTAGTCTGCCAACCCCCTGTGCGCCCGGTCCTCGGCCTCCCGTGGCCTGGCCCCTTTGGCCCTGGCCTCGTCCTCGACCTTGCGGCCTCCCTCCAGCCGCGACAGCAACGTAGGACCTCCCCTGCCCCACACTATTGTCCTCATCTTCGAGGCCCCACTCGATTTGACTATATGGGACCTCGTCTGTACCACCTTCCTCTAAAGTAAGGATCATATGATCCTTGGCCCTGACTTGGCCAGAGATGGTACGACCTTTCCACTTTTTCCCCTTATCCAAGTCCTTATGCCAGAAAGTGGAAACTGGCATGAACTTTGACTCGAACAGGACCACCTCTCTACTCAGCACATCGTATGTGATGTCGGCCTGTTGAGACTTGTCAAAGAAATGCCCACGCAGGGGCTCTGGCATGGCACGATAAAACAATTGGACCAACTGGGGCTCAGTGACCCCGTGGTCTGGGATGGCTACCAAGTCGTCCATGACGCCCTTGAGTGCTCTTGCACTCCTCCACTGTCGTGAGTGGATGGTCTGTAGCTTATCAGAGGCTTTAACGCCTTTCGTTGGGTCAACAAATCTCTCCCTGAGGAGTTTGAAGAATTGAGGAAGGGGGGTGATCTTAGAATATGCAACCAGGTTGTTCTTCATCTTTGAGGGCCTGGAAGGCGACGAGGACTTGTTCCTCATTCCGGATGTGTTGTAAATATACGTCACTATTGACACTGGCCTCCCAGTTATCAAAGTTCTCCTCCTCCTTCCCGCCGTATGCGTTTGGGAACTTAAGTTTGACGGGTTCTTTACGAGGTCTGGCCTCGCTCTCGACAGCGGCTACCGCTTTGGCACCCTCAATGGCGCCCTCACAAAACTTCCCCACGTTGTCTCTCAGTCGCCTAACTTCCCCTCCAACGTGGGTGACCATATCGTGCGCAAAGTCTCGTTTACCTAACCGCATGGCACTCAGGGCCATATCTTGACCCCAGCTAGCTTGGCGCTCCTCCATCCAAGTTGCGCTCAACACTTCTAAATATCCCAGCATCTTGTCCATCTTGGCAGAGATGTCTACTTGCGCCTGCACCTCCTGCCTGCAATCTCTCACCTTCGCCACCTCCGCGGTCAACCTATTAACTTCGTCCCTCCTTCTCTTCTTTTCCCTCTTCATCCTCAGTTTCCACTCCAACTTTTTCTCCTCCTCCACTTCTTGTCGTTCCTGAGGGTCCTTGATTGCTGCTAGCTCACTGGCTACCGCATCCCTCTCATCCAGTGGCAAATAGAATTGTGCCTCTTCATCTTCCCCCAACGATAAATTAACAATCCACTCACTGATTTTCTTCTCCATTGGGGCGTCCTCGTTCGTCGTGCCACTACTCTCTCCTTTAACTTCCCTGTGTTTCCTCTCCTCTTCTGCTTCTGCTGCCGCTTCTTCTTCGGCAGCCTTCTTCTTCTCCTCCATCTCTTCTTCTAACTTCTTCATCTTCGCCGCCTGCTCCTATGCGATTGCCTTCAACTTCGCCTGTTTCAGGAGCTTTTTCCTCTCCTTATTCTCTCTTACTAAGGCGGCTATCTTCTCTTGTTGTTCCTGGGTATAGGGGTTAGTGCTCTTCCCACTCCGGGTGTCAACCATGGTGATAAGTGCACAACCGGATTAGCGGTTTCAAACCTCACCACTTAGACTCTAACCCCTGACTCACAAACCTACTGACTCAACGCAAAGACTCACAGAATCCGGACAGGGACCCTGCCAACTAGGATCTCTAGCCTAGACCTACACTATGGTTGTCACTACTAGACCTGTTGCTGATCAGGAGACATTTGAGGAAATCCCCCGTAACTCCTCAGGAATTATTTAATGCCACAAACAGGATGACGCGATCAGCAGGTCTCTCAATACTTAGACGGCCTGTTGTGCAGCCTACAACTCGGATTTTGGGCCTACAGTGCCACACCGAGCAGCCCGCCGGTCAGTACCGGTCCTTGGGAGGGTTAGGCCTCCGGGATAGTCGAGTCGTCAGACACAGTCTTTAGCCCTACTCAGCTCGTGTGGGTTTGGTCAACAAGGCCCTATCCTTCATCCACAGAGTACTATCACCTGGACAAAAGAGACTCGATGAAGAAAGAAGAGACAGACACACTGGACTCAACAAGTACCACAGGGTATGTGCACATCCATAGGGCGAGGGATAGGCTAAAGACTTGGCGAGATTATACCGGCTCCAGCTTGGTCAACTTGCGGTCAGCGGTTTTGGTCAACGCCTTGGTCAACGCTGCGGTCAACCCCCGGTTAACTGGCTAATGCATCCCTCTCCTTCAACTCTTCTGCCACGCCTCCTAACGGTCAGACAGAACAGATGAACAAGATCCTGCAGCAAGTTTTGCGCATATATATTAGACCGGATCAAGTCAATTGGGACGAGATGTTGCCCAAGGTAGCCAACACATACAACAACAACGTGCATTTGTCTACCTGTCGGACTCCCAACGAGTTGCACACGTCCTTTAGACCCCGCAAACCGTTTGAGGAACTTACCCAGGATCAGGTTCACAGGCTACCGCCCGGAACCAGGGAGTTTGCGATACAGCACGAGAGAGAGCTACAGTTGTTGAAAACCTCAGGAAGGCCCAACATAGAATGATATAACAGGCAAACAAGCACCGTCGCCCATCTCAATTTCAAGTAGGCGACTTAGTCTGGGTCAAGTCTAAAGAGTTTGCACCTGAGGAGAACATCTCGCAGAAGTTACTGCCTGCATATAGAGGACCGTAGCCGGTTCTAGAAGTCAAGGGCGGAGAGTATGGACCGTCCTACGCTATAGAGATTCCAGCACACCTCCACACCTACCCTGTGTTCCATGCTTCAAAGTTGTTACCGTGTGTCACAAGTCAACAGTTCCCTTCAAGAAGATCCATGATCCCTCCGGATACGGATGGCAGATATGACATTGACGACATTGTACATGAAGATGTGTTTACGACAGGAGGTAGAGGTCGTCCACAAAAACAGTATAAGGTCCGATTTGCTTATCAGGAACCGGGAGACGACCGCTGGTTTACTAGAACAGAACTTCTAGAAACAGCTCCCGACATAGTCAGAGCCTATCAGCGTGATAGGAAGGGTAAAGGTCCTGCCTTGGACTAAGATATTCTCGGAGGACCTCGAATTTAGGCAACGGGAGTGAAATGGTTTTCACCTTTTGCAGTAGCAGATGCATAACCCCAAGGCTCGATCCCTAGCCCTTACCCTACCGGTGTACAGTATCTGTGTCGACCCCAAGGATTGAACCCACGACCTGTGTATTTGTATCAGTTAGTAGACTGTCGTAGGGTCCGTAGGTAGCAGGGGTTGTAGATCTGTAGAATAGAAGTCTTAGCGAGTTCCAGAAGTCTTAGTTGTAGTCCTTCTAGAAGGTCAGCAAGTGGGCAAGTGGGTAAGTGGTGAGTTAAGTGGTGGATTAACTGCATTGCAATTGCAGTACGACCTCAGTAGGTTAGCAGTGAGTCCCCATTCAGTCAGCGGTAAGGTCCAGTCAGTCCCAGTCCGATCCAGCAAGTACCACGAGGGACTGTGAGCATCATGGGCCGATGGAAAAGGGCAGACCAACGAATTTCAGAAGTATAAATCAAGAGGCAGCGCCCAGCCATTCATTCATTCCTGCGTGAGCCATGCGGAAGCGCTGCCACAGCGACTTGTGCAAGGAGGTTTGCAGTGACGCCCGAGGTCGAAGTGGGCAGAGAGAAGGAGCGTAGCATAGCGATAGGGTAGTCGCGGCCATAGCCGCCATAGCTAGAGTTAGCGTGTAGTGTGTGTGTGTATGTGTGAGTGTTCAGAGAGTTGCGTGTGGGATATCCAGGGTGATCCGATGTGTGCGAACAGAGAGTTGTTTGGGCGCTGAGACGCCATAGCCATTGGAAGTGAACTCTTATCTGGGTTGCCATATCTCTGAGTTTTGAGTGGGNTGTGTGCGAACAGAGAGTTGTTTGGGCGCTGAGACGCCATAGCCATTGGAAGTGAACTCTTATCTGGGTTGCCATATCTCTGAGTTTTGAGTGGGCGCATGTTGCCAGTTTGCTGCGCTACTGTTTGGATGCATGTAAAGTGTGAATGAAAGCAAGTCTGATTGCACCTAGAATGACAATCATCGGCAATCATTCACAATCATCGGCAATCATCCACAATCATCGGCAATCATCCACAATCATCGGCAATCATCTGCAACCAGAGCCTGCCTGCTCCTCCAGACGGGTACGGGGGTCATGATGAGAGTGCTGAGAGCATTCATGGACTGTGAATTAGTTCACCTTCAAGGTGCAGAAGCTCAGTAACTGTACTTGGGGCAGCTTGCAGGCCAGATACAGCTGGGTGGCTATATATTATGAAGGCACTTGCTCAGCAGTTGAATCATCAACTGTTGTCCTCACCCGAATACAGCGCCCGGTCATTATAGTTGTACTTGGGGCAGTTTGCAGTCCAGATACAGCAATCATGGCCAGGCGTTGTATTTGGGTGAAGACGGTAGGGTAGTCCTTTCGGCAATGGCTGATACTAAGCCTGGTCATCCAACGAACTTGCGCCTTTGTATGTGTATGTGTGTGTGCATTTGAAGGAGAGGGGGACTTGTACCAGCAGAAAGGATTCTAGTCCTTTCGGCTATAGAAGAAATAACGTCTTCTATGGCAGTTGTTGAATCGAGTCCTTTGAACTCCTTTCCGTACAGAATGGCCGGAGGTCGTTTTTTTTTTTTTTTTCAATGGCGGAAGTTACATCCATTATCCAACAAAATTGTAAAGTTGGCGGAAGTTACGTCCGTTATCTGATGAAATTGTAAAGTTGGTATGTTTCAAGGTGTAGTTTTTTTTTTTTTTTTCTGGGGTATTCAGTCAGATATGACACTGATAGGAACAGATACTACACTTGATCTTAGCCGAAGGGGTGAGAAAGGTATCAACTTTCAAGGTGTAGTTTTCGTTCGATGATGATGAGATATTAATTTGCATACAAGATTCGTTTGTGAACGGCAACAGCAGCGCGAGTTGGATTTGTGTTTCCATTAACAATTCTGTCGTTTGCCATCTCTCCATTCTTGATTGATTGTTCTCTCTGTGTCTTTTGACTTTTTTTTTCCCCCCTGACTTATTGACTGCCCCTTGGAAGGATTGTAATTGGCGGTTTGAAAGGTTTTGACTTCAAGCTTGCTTCATGATGATGTAGTTGGCAGGGGTGCCTGCCAATGTGCAACAACTCAGCCATGGTCAAGTTAGGTGACCATGGTCCAGTTAGGTGCATGCTATGTCTGTGAATACCCGCCCTTGTAAATTCACTCAGGCCACTACCCTCAGAGGAGGGCTTTTTTTTTTCCTTTTTTTTCTTTTGGTTTTAGGAAAGGGTGAGGAATATGGTCCATTAGGAATTTAGGATATATTATAGTGAGATGACAAGCTCAACACCTGAAGAGAACATTCGGCAGGAGTGCTTTGATTGCACCTGAAGGGTATTATAGTGAGGTGACAAACATGACACCATGATGAAATGTTTTTTTTTTTTTTTTTTTTTTTTTTTTTTTTTTTTTTTTGACGGATCATTTTGATGCAGGGCGTGTTGCCCCGCATCTCTGCACACTTACACAAACACGCACAATCAGTTTTATGTTTGTCTGTTTTCCTGTTGTTGTCCATCCTCCCCCTGATCTTTTTCCAAGTGTTTTTGCTTGCCCAAACTGAGCACCCTTAAGTGGTGCCAAACAGTCGGTGGTTCCTCATTTGGAGTGCCTACTGCACTCTTATGGGGGCCGCTCAGTTCGGGTTGTCTGTGTTGCCTGTAGGTGATGACGGATGCTCGTCGGAGTGTTTCCCTGGCTCAGTGGGTGGTGGGAACCAACAGTCTGTGGGGTTCACCCGTGATGTGAGTAGGTGATGTGCTGCTTTGCTCCGTGTTGAATGTGTGGACGGCCTCGTCTGCCCTCCGCCACTGCCTTGCTGCCCGTCCCGCTTGCCTCGCAGGTCGTTCTCTGCAAGCTGCTGTCTTCGCTGTGTGGTGTGGCTGGGTTGTGGTGTTGCCTTGCGCTTCGCTGCTCCGCTGCCTCGCTGCCCTTCCGCTGGGCGTGCCTTCCGTGACCTTTGCCTGGGTGCCATGTAGTTCGGTTGTCGTGTTGGCGTTGCCTTGTGCTTCACAGCATGGTTGCTCTACTGCGTGTCCGCTCGCCCTGTTGTCCCTTGCGGTGTGGTTGTCTTGGTGGTGTTGCCTGGTGCTTCACTGCTTGGTTGCCGTGCTGCGAGACCCGCGTGCCAATTCTTTCCTTGCAGTCGTCTTTGGCGTTGTGCAGCCGTGTTGCCTCTACTGCGTTGCCTGGTGCTCCGCAGGGTTGCTGCCCGCTGCTATGTTCCACTTGGGGACAGTCTGCCTTCAACAAGGGTCAAAGGGTGCATGACCCAAACCATCAATATGGGCATTCCGCAGATTGTCGAGGGTTCAGCCTCCTGATGAGTCGGTGCAATTTCGACGAAACAATTTTGTCATCATCATTTTTTTTTTTTTGGTCTTCTGATTTACTTGGGACTTGTATTTTTTTCGGTTTGTCTGCCTTCGTGTGCTTGTGTGCCTGTTTCGTGTTTTTGCATGTTGTCTGCCCTCCCGCCTCCCTTGCTCTTCAG